ACACGTGGGATGATACGAAATCGCCCCTGTATATTCTGAAGTGTGTTTTGTCCAAGCAAAACAAACACTTTCTAGCGTCGATCCCCTCAAAGGATGATACCGGCTCTTCTTGGATGTATCTCAAAGGATGACAAATGAGGGTTTGCATACAAATGCAGATATATACATATAAAATTGACAAAATACAGTGTTTAAATTCGTGAAAGGTTGAAAGAAATGTACCCCCATGCGAGGCAGTGACGGGATCAGCCCCCTCAGAAGTCTGAACAGTCGGACGGCCCCAGGGAACTCAAGATCTACGCGGTGACATGATGAAAATATGATCTACATTGAAATCCAACGAGAAAGTTAGGATTTTGAGCATGGAATTGGCAAAAATATCACAAAATACAGTGGAAATACGCATGCATGAAAAAAAAATCAAAATTTTGAAAGGGAGAGGGAGAACAAACCTTCAATCTTTAAGTGAAAACCCTCCGAATGAGAACCCTAATCAACTCAAAGACAAAGAGGACAAGGGGAGGTCGAAAACTTGTAGAAATAGACGAAGAAATCGCCCAAAAAATCGCTCAGAAATCAACGTGAAGAAGCCCTGAAAAAAAACCCTAAGTCGGGGTTTTATATCCCCGACTTCACCGTGCGAGACAGCCTTCACTGTCTCGCCGTGCGAGACAGCATAAACTGTCTCGCACAGCGCGACAGCATATACTGTCTCGCACAGCGAGACAGCATATACTGTCTCATACCGCGAGACAGTATAAGCTGTCCCGCACAGCGAGACAATATAAGCTGTCTCGCACAACGAGATAGCATATACTGTCTCGCACCGCTAGACAGTATAAGCTCTCTTATCGCGAGACAATGACGACTGTTTTGAGTATAATAGGCAATGTCGTGGTGTTCTGATGAAGTAACCTCAACCCACGTATAATGCACATGAATACTCAACAGGAAGTTTCTGGAGAATATTACTCTGAATATTCTTAAGGATAACCTGACGAACTCTCAATGGGTGTATAAGTATCAATTTGGTGACAAAAACTGGACTCACAAGTACAAATATCAGCTTCGATTCAAAATCTCAACAACGGTCAAGCGATAAACGCGGTACGGGAAGGATATTAGCTATTCTACGAGGAACTGAATAGACTAAAGGAAGAAGAGATCGGGAATTGAAGCCATTTACGGATCCTTCTATACGATTTACTCAACCAAGCATTGAAAGGATCGTAAGTAAAATTTATCTTATCCAAAGTATCCCAGACTCCTCTATAAAAGAATGAGTTTGGAATACTTTAGAGGGGGTATCTGTAGGCGTTAAAAAATGCTGATAGATATCCAAACATAAGAGAAGATCACCTAAAAATCACAATAATTCATACTGTCTTAGAAAGATCAAGACAGATATGGACTGTCTCGCCAGCGAGACAGTGTTTGCTATCTCGCCAGCGAGACAGCTTTGAAATGATCAAAAATTAATTAAATAACTACCACCCACGTGTCCATTAACTGCTAAGGGATGTGGAAAACATCGTGAGCGAAAATCACGTGAATAACTACCAAAATAACGGAGTTTGAAACATGGGAAAGCGGTTACAATAGAAACTGCCAGGCAGTTAGAATTTCCGAGACAGTATTTACTGTCTCGGAAGTCAAATTGGAGCAGATCTGAGCATAGAGAGCAGAGAGAAAACAACAAGAATTGAGTTCCTCGCGTGATTCCTTAAGATTCGAGCTTTGACTTGATCTTAAGAAGAGTGATCGTCTTACTTTGATAAGATATTCACTTCAAATTCCTACTTCGATAAACGAAGGAAGAATCTTTAAACCCCTCACAATCTGTGATTTGGTGGTCCACGAGTCAAAGCACTCCCGGCCCAGGCAAAGTCCCACAAAACAGGAGTCGATAAACGATTTCTGTGTTATTTTCCAAGAGAGTTGTAATTTGCTTACTTTTCATTGTAATTCTCTGTAAACAATTTAAGTTTTAATGGAATCTACGATGAAAACAACTTTCAACGAAAACAATCGGTGGGCGGCCGCTGGTAGCAGGAAAGAAGATGGGGAGGAGGAGAACGAGAGTTTCTTCGCTGAAACCGATTGATGAGATCGCGAGATCTGAGGAGGAGAACGAGAGTTTCCAAATAAATTAAGGTTTGATTTTCTGATCTTTTCCCTTTTTTATTTGTTTTTTGATTTGTTGGTTGATTTTGAAGAAACTGGTAAAGGGTTTGATTTTGGAAGTTGCATTCGTGAAATCGTATGTCAATTTGGTGGATTGGTGAATGGATACTCTTAGATTGCAATAGATTTGTGAAATTTGTTATGTTTTAGTTTTATTTTATTTTTATGTTGTGTCCATCATGGGACCTCAAAGTAGCGGTAAGATTCACCCCAAAAACTGCTTTGTGGAAGTATCGATTGCTCTTTATTAGATGATTAGGGTTAGGGTTAGGGTAAAGATCCTTCATTTAAAGAAATTTGATTTTTATTGCGGCGTTCGGGGGCAAAAACGAGATGCATGCATCGTTACCTTTGTTTATGCTTTTGGGTTTAAGATGAATGATTTGTTAATGTGTTAGTTAAATTTTGGTGAATACATGATTTGAGTGCTTTTAAGTCTGGGTAAGTAGAAATTTGAGAGATGAGGTGTATTTGTTAGGCATATGGAGAGCGAAGTCGAGCACAATTTACTCTGTAAATGGTTATTTGATGCCCTTACTCTGTAAACGTGCTTTGTTCATGAATGTTGATCCCTACAGTAGATTTTGTCCACATTCTTTTTCACAAAATAGGATTTTTTTCTTGATCAGAATCATGTTGCCTATACATTGCGTAAAAATAGATTATGAAGGAAAAGAAATTTCTTGCTCAAAGACCCCGAAAGAAGTTTAACTAATTTTACATTGTTTTGCCGGCAAAAGTGGCGGATGAAATTATGAACTTTACACCCACTAATTGCATATTTGTATACTAATAAATGACTTATACAACAATAACGTGGTCTATGACTTATGATCTGTAGTTTCATAGTCTTATGCATATTTGCAAAATATTTCATTCATTGACAGTTTCAAAATCATCAGGGAGCATTGTTGATGCCTGGTTCGACTCAAATATGGTCATGGAGTCCGATTGTGATGATGATTTCCACAATGTTCAAGATGGTATGTGAGTTGAACTAATTCAATGTGCAATTTTCAAAAACCTGATCGGACTGCTAACCTTCTACATGTTATTTGATAATTATTTAAAACACATACAATATGTGCCTAAAAAAGTATGATTCATTCCTCAGGTTAATGGCAGAGAAGGTTTCTCAGAAGTGATAAAAGTCATGTCTGGTAACAATTTAACTCTACAAGTTAGGTAACAAATTTATTATTTGCGTTACATCTACTACTTCATATCTAAAGCAGAATACTTTATTTAAGTAACATGTTCAGTATTTGAAAAAAAAATTAGGAACCGTGCTTTGCACGGGTTTAAATATTAGTATGATTAAAGACAGAGAAAGGTACTACGCAACGAAATAGATAATGACAAATATTGGAACGGAGAATTAAAAAAAAAAAGATTATTTTTGAAAAATAATAGGCAAAACCAACCCTTATAGAAATATATTAGCAAAATCGATCTCTAGGTCAGTTTTGTAAAATATTGACTTTAAAATGCACAGGACTAATAGTATCGTGTAATTAATAATCGTTAATTATAGTTAATCTGAAATAGTTGTCTCGTATACTTTACGCTGAAATGCTTAAAACTTAATTAATAAAAACTAAATACAGGGGATTACTAGTCTTAGTCCCGTGTATTTTAAAGCTTAATTTTACAAAGTTGACTTTTTTAAAAAAAGATATAGATTTGTTAATTATTTTACAAAACGATTAATTTTACTAATTATTTTTTTGAAAGAAGGGTTTTCTTTCATTTATTAAATTCTCCTATTGGAACCTTCATACAAAGCAGAGGACGGTATATAAAGTACGAGTCAGTAATCATTCCAACTCAAACATTATATAGAGATACGTATCAATGTATAGATCCAATTCACATTCACACGTGTATATTGCACGGGCCGCCCACTGCTTTTATTTGCTAGTGTTCCCCTTGAATGCGACTAAGCACTCGTGCAAGCCCGCAAATTAATCAAAGAAAACTAAAAGTCGGCTTTCATGTATTTGATTTGGGTTTGAAAACGTACGCATAAATATTTTTTTAATCAATAAAAAGGCTACTTTCATGAACTATATTAAAACAATCCGACTCAAGTCTGTTGAACAAGCGACAAGACGTTTTCCAATTCTCATGCCCTGAAGAATACTATATATTTTAATGAAAAAAGTATAATGCTCATCAAAATCCTAGCTCTATGATGTTTCCCCCCGCAAAATCATCATACAATTAGCTCAAGAACTTGGTCATTAATCTTCTTACTTCAAATAACGATAAACAAAAAATCCTATAGATGATTCACCATAGAATCATCTACGGAAGTAGAGAAATCTGGTTCTTGCTTTTCGGGAACAAATATTCAAGCTGTTGCCTAATTAATTAATAATAACTATTGAAGTTTAAATGTTTAGCGGATCACATGAATCGCTTTGATTTTAATCCTGAGTAATTTAAGTTCGTAAACCCTGTAAAATTTTCTTATATATAGACGAGGTCCTTCATAGCATTTTAATCTAAGTGCGATATTAAACGATGGGTGTTTCAAAACAGGGATAATTACATAGGAACCAAAACAAATACCTTCCTCTCATGGGGTAGGCTCACGGTTCGATACCAATTTTGAGATGACATTAGGTTCTAGCCTCCATGTTCTCATTGCCACTTAGTTATTATAGCTTCACGTAGCCACATAGGTTAATGGCTCGAAGGAGCATGCGAAGTTTAGACCGTCACACGTGCGAGGCGTTCTTTGATTATTTTTATTATGTTCGGAGATGGAGAGAAACGAGCAAGCGCAACAAATTAGACAGCGACAGCAGACATCAGAACCCTTCACACGAAGCAGAGAAGGAAATTTATGCAAATTACATAATCACTCCCACTCACTCGCCCATTACGAAACAGATAGATACGTAACATGCGCGTACAAGACTTTTCACACGTGTATATTTCACGGGCCACCCACCGGCGTTTTATTTATTTACGAACGCCCCCTCGAATGCTACTGCGCGCTCATGCAAGCCTGCAAAATCAAAGATAATGACGTTATGTTTGGGGGTCATCCGATTGGAGCTTACAACCATTAATTTCGATAACAAAGAAATATTATAAACAAGTTATTTTCCAGGGCCACAACTGGACCCACACAAAAAAAAAAATCAAACTTGAAAATGAAACTAGTAGCGGAAGGAAAAGTTTGGGAGTCCGTTTGATCATACGCTAGCTAGCTGTATAACGTATAGTATTGAAGTTAGAATCGTAGACAAACCTAACCAAATGAAGGAAAGAAAGATGCTTACAATTATCATATGATAACTTTTTAGCATGTTCATCTATTAAATATTATCAATTACCTCCTAGATTATTTCATCAAACTAATTTGCTCAAATTATTTCCCAACCAAAAATGAAAAGAGAAACAGAGAGAACGTACTCAAAGCAACGGAAGCTGAGGCTTGTAGGTATAACACTAGTCCTAACCCCACATTTCCCAGCAAGCCCAGACGCCCGACGCCCATCAACCCTCCCGGTCCCAACCTGAGCCATCATCATCTTCAAGCAATTACAAGTCCCCCTCCTCGCCATCCGCGTGGGCGACAGGTCCTTAACCGACCTAACCGCCATACAACAGCTCGACGACACCGTGTGTTCCATCCCCATCACGTAAGGCACGCACATCCCGAACGCAGTCTGCGCCACCCCGCAGTCCGTCTTCGTGTTGCCCTCGACAACCGACGCGACCAAGATAGCCACCATTATTATCAACGTCATCCTCAAAGAAGAAGACATGCTCGTCGGACTTGCGTTTGTTGTTCGGAGACCGTTCATACGACCTCAATGCATATATAGTGAGAGATGGAGAAGAAGAATCTAGGAATTGGGGGATGTTTCCATCAAAGTCCCAATCAATGAGTCTCTCAAGGTGGCTAGAAAACGAGAGGAAGTCAAACCAAATGGTATCTTTCTATCAATGGGTAGGCATTAAGTCTCTCTCACAAAGTGATGCCAATTTTGAAAGGGCATTAGCTTCTAGTCTCCTTAATGCTTACTCAATGGTCTCTTTTCGTGATAGCCTGATGGGCACTTAGCTGGGCATGGGCTCATGTTTATATGATATCATCAAATTTTATATTTCTTTGGTCGACCATCCCGGTTCTACATGTAGACATATTCATTCAAGATACACATAACTATGATCGTCTCATCAAAAATATATATTAGCTGTTGGTGCCACCAAGGCAGGTACCAACAATTCAACCAATTTATATCTATATATAACAAAAATTATAATATACAAGGAAAATAATAACAATGATATAATTATTGAGATGAACTGAAGGATTAGGGAAACATCGAATCTGAAAGAAACTTGAATCAAAATGAGTCACGCATCAATCCTAGCATTAGAGAAGGAAACAAAATGCATTAACTAGTGAAAGGAAAGGGAATTATGAAATGGACAGCATTTTGATTTCAAACTTAGCTTAACTGATAGGACTGAAGTGCAAGATAAGAAATATAACTGTCTGGAATGAAAGATGAGAGGAAAAGAAAGCAAAGAGATTGAGAAAGAAGATTTTTCCTCCGTATATTATTGCAAGTGACAGAAAATTAATCTTTTGTTGTCACCATACATGCACCCCATATGCGAAAAGACATGCAATTTTTATTAACATGACCAGCTTTTTTAAGGAATATATGGCAGCTGCATCCACAATGAAGAAATTTCAAACTGTATGAAAAATCATAACTCCTTTACAGCCATAAACCTGCGATTGAAAGTTTATGAAAGTTTAACCACAATTTGAAACCATAAACCTAATAACCAAAGCTGACTACAATGGGCGGTATTCATGTTAATTTGAGATGTCTATGAAAGATGAACCACAATTCCTCTGAAGTACATATGCTACTAGTGCACATGAACAACGCGAAATTTTGATCAAAACTATACAGAGGAAATGTGATGCACTGAACTCTCCCTCTACAGTAACCACAGGCTAATATCACATTCGATTAGTAGTCTGACTACAGATGAAAGATGAAATACCTAGCAGGTGTAGAATAACTTCAAATCAACTCATCAGCAAAACTCTCCATACTGTTTTCCAACAGAATTACATATGAACTATAACACAGGAACAATCAATTACTTGTATATCCATAGCCATGACGGTTTCATCAAATAATTAGGATAGGCCTTACCACTCCACAGAAAGCTTTCAAGTTTGACAAAGGTCAGTTATTATAGTCATGCAAAGTTACCTTCTTACTTCACGTGATCCAGCCAAGCGACAACATGGATATCTTACTTTCACTGTTGTCATTTTCCTGTAAACTGTATATTTCCATGATTCATAGCTCTAGAGGACCATCACCAGGACACCCATCATGTATAAATTCCAAGGACAGATTTTTTTTCCCTATTGGATTCTGACTGACGCATAATTTAATTCACAGGAAATAAATCTCTTCGAGAAAAAAATTCTTAACCCATTGAATTCCTTGAGGGAAGGCAGACTAAAGTAACTGTAAAAAAGAGTTTTGGCGACTTTCACTACTTTCTTCTGCACTAGTTTTAGAATTTTTTCATAGTGTGATTTTTTAATGACATGTCCTATTTTCAAATGTATCATAACAATAAGCTCCCTGTTCTGATCTTGGTTGCATGTGCATTCACATATATTAGTATAGAAAGAAATAATCATCTGATCATATAACATGCGAAAGTACAGGAGACAACCAAAAGCCAGATACTACCTATATAGGCCTCAATAGAATATATATCAAAACAATCATACTGTTAGATCGTTAAAGCGTATCACCATCTTCCATCCTGTGATAATTGTTTAGATCTAATCTTCACCTAAACAAAGTCCAAACGACAAACTATTTCTAATCACTTTTCTTATTCATGTATAATCCCTTCCCTCATACGACTGCCCACCATCCTATAGCCATAGCAACAGAAGCCCTCTAATTCATTTCGTACATCAGTCTTTTTAACACAGAAGTTACTTTCTGTAGTATACTAACTCTACAATACATTCTTACAGATGGAAATCAACAAACTAGATGTAAGATGCCTTTGAGTGCAGTATTTGCCTCAATCTGGTAGAGTGATTGGAAGACTTTTACTTTGCCGTTTGAGTGTAGTATTTGCCTCAAGAGTGCACTCTACATGTTTTTGAATAAACCGAAAGGATGAACTTCATATTACGATAAATAACATGTGTTGAATCTAGTTAAATAAAGATTTCACTTAACATGATTAGTCTACAATATATGTATTATCACTGTAGAAAATCAACTACCAAAAAACATGTATGTAACTGAGTAATCTCATGTGTACACCTACGAACTCAAATTTGATAGCCCAGTGAAAGTTTAATCAGAGTTTACATATTAAAAGGTGGAAGATATTGACCTACAGTACACATGTTACCTTTCTATGTTTGTATAAAGTTTGATCAGCGCAGCTACTTCTCTAAAGTTGATCACGCTAAAATGGATTGGGATTCACAGAGATTCTGGGTCAAATCAGATTATATAATATCACAAATTGGTTGGATTGGATCGTTACATACGATGGGTCACTCATAGCAGAGATTAGAACCCACCACTGACTCCAAGAACTTCTGAGGGGAAAGCAGGTGAAGCTAAAAGCGTAAAACGACATGTTGTGTATACTTCTAATAGGGAGGTTAGTGAAAACTAAAACCACATGTTCTATATACTTCTATCAAAATCAAGTTCATAACTCCAAAAGCTCTCGTGGATAAAATGCCACATGGCTACTATATTACATTAAGTTGAACTAGGCGACATTAAGACATATTGGATACTTACAATTTGAAGTGGACATTGCGCCATCCAAATTGATGTTCCACACCACTGACATGATCTATTACCTGTAAAGGACCTCGAGATTACATTTTTCAAGTTTCCATCATTTTCTGCCCATGAACCAAATGGCCAAATTTTAAGCAATTTTACATCTATTTGAAATGTTGATCATTCTGCAACTTGATGCATTAGTAAATTATGATGACAACTTATGAATGATTATCTCCAAACAGCTTATGTAGGATAGTAGACCACATCTACTAGCGTGGATTGTCAATTTGAATGGTTACCCGATTCAAAGTGGGAGTATCCACATTATAGATACTTTAGAAAGTATCCTCCCTTAACTCCAAATCCAATACATTTTGTACAAAAAGAGCATTTTCTTAGTTTCTAAGGAAAAAAGTTAATAATTTATAGCCAACTATGCTTCCCTAAAACCATCCACGAAAAACTTTCTTCTCGCGAACCAATTAAGAGTCCAGATAGTCACAAACCAAAATTCAACATTCACATTTAACTTTCTTAGTCGTACATAAATATTGGCCAAACACCCTAATAATACTTGCACAGTGGTTGATGGTTATCTTAACACATATACTGGTCCATGTAAGGAACATAAAATTTGTGTTTTTCAGTCAAAAGAAACAAAAAACAGTAATAGGATTAAAAGAAAAGTAACCAACAGTTTTTAAAAAAGAATAATGTTTTCTTTAATAAGATAAAGCATTTAGTAGTTTGGATTTGAGTATAGATTGTGATCTATTAAAGAATTATTAATGAATTTGGAAAATAAATCCATAATGGCAGAGTTTGATGCACAGGCTATAGGAAGCCTTGTTATGTGCTTTAGTACAGCTCCTAGATTGAAACAGGTTCACTAGTTCATGTTTTCCTAATCCACCGTTAGTCATGTGATTAAATCTCAAGCCTTTGTTGATCAGTGAGCATAGCAGAGTAATGATTGGATCAGATTGTGGTTAATGTGGGTAAAAGAGACATATATGTGAAAAAAGAAGAGTATTAGCTCAGATGTAAATTTGACCTATTTTATTTAAGGCATGCACACCAGCATACATATGTTGCAACAACAACAAAATAGTCATCCCAAGTTTTTGAGGCCAGGTACATGAATCATATTCTTCCATTCAGTAAGGTTGAGGGTTAACTCCTCTATTAAGTTAACCACTGTCATGTCATACTTAATTGCTTTCAACCCAGTTAGCATACCTACCTTCGTTCCTCATTGCTATACTAGTTACAACTTACAATCTTATCATATCTCCTGACATGTGCGTTTTGCAGCCTTTGTTGTCCATGATCAACTCCTCTTATTTTATTCTTGATAGGAACAACCCTGAATCTCCTATACACTAATATCTTATCTCTTAGTGGATACGCATAATCCATTATAACATTTGCATTTCTGCCACGCTCAGTTTTGCACATGTTTCTTGTTTCTTGATCCATAAGGCTTTGTTGGTCTTATAATGCAGAAACTTTTGTTCAGTTTCATAGTTATTCTACAGTTACATAGGATTACAGAAGCGCTCCGCGACTTTAATCATTAGGATTTCAATCGATGAACCACATCATCTTAAGTCTTACTCTCTTAATGAATGATAATCCTAAGCAATGAAAGTGATTACTCCTAAGCATTCCCCTACATATTGTTGATTCTTTTAAATCCACTTTCAGGATAGTCTCATTTTAAATGTGATCCACTATGTGATATGCTCGAGTTTCCATCATTTTTTAACTTGCTAACTATGCTCTTCGGCGTAGATCATGTACTAAAGACTAACATATTCTAATTGTAACTTTTTCCCTATCAAGTTTTGCTAATTATGGTTCAACCTTCAAACTAAAGTCTTTCGTCTATGTTTAATGATTTAGTTCACATCCCAAAAAATGTAATGTAGGTAATTAGATAGCGAGGCATACCGAAGACATACTACACTTGGGGATATGTGACTCTCAAGTCTCGAGAGCTGGACATTAAGGGGAATAAATTTTGCTAGGGGGCACTTATGATTTAAACTGGGGTTCTTTGGTGCCAGCAACTTTACCAGAAAGGGATGCTAGCAGGCAAAAGTTTCTTTATTTGCATTTCCATGATTAAGGGAGCTTAACGCAATCCAGGTGGTAACATGTAGCAGTAGATGCTATCGATTAAAAAAATCATAATGCAGACAGAGAATTAGGGGAACAAATTCATAAGCGATGTTATTGATTCAAAAACAATTTCATAAGAGCACATGACATAACCAAACTAGTATATGTTCGATAAAAGTTAAGAAAAAATGGTACCAATGATACACAAATTAAAATAAGATATTAAATTGCCTATTATCATCTACAAAGTCAACTAAGTGCTGCTAGATGATGTAACGGAGGTGCAACCGTGCAAGGACCTACATGTCTGTTCTCTCCTTATAACCTCTTGAAGCAGAATTCTTCTCGAAGACAAGGTATTAGGAAAAAATCAATAAGAGATGATATTGATTAAAAAAATTCATAAGAGCACATGATGTAACAAAACTAGCGTATATTCGATAAAAGTACAGAAATATGGCATCATTAACATGCAAATTAAAATAAAATATTAAATTACCTATTATCATCTACAAAATCAAATAAGCTCTGCCAGATGATTTAACGGGGGCCCACGGCCTTGCATGTCTTGTTCTCTCCTTATACTCTCTTGATTGTACAACTACTCTTATATAATAAATATCCAGTTGACAGCCTACAAGAGAGCTTCATTCGATAGTCATAAACAAGACTTTAGCAATCTCCTCTTCTTGAAGCAGGATTTTTCCATGTAAAGTTGATTTGGGGAAAGGAGTACATTACTAACGGCAGACATCTGATTTCCTTATATTTGATATGTCTTTAAATGAAAAATAAATATTTGGATCCGCAGAATATATTAGTAGATGATAAGTACAAACAGAAGAGGACAGATAGTGATGAAGAAAGCTAATCTCCTGGTGAATCTGAGGAGATCCAATTGTGCATCTGATCGTATTGGTCAAACCTGGATAGTTCAGTGATTTTCTTCCATATGCTTCATGTTTTTTAGTTGGTAGGCAAGCTCGTATTTAGTTCAACATGCAATCGGATAGTCATTCATGGAGATAAGGTCAAATCATCTATAACTGCTAAATATGCTTGTAAATTGGCAGACTTAGCATTGCGCTTGCTAGATCTGACCATGTGGGTGTTGGATGAAAGGTCTCTCCTACAATTATTGCAATCATTTTTCCTCAAGCAACATCATCAGAAGTATTATTTGATACCTACATGAACATCATGGATAGATAACTACCTTGGACATTGGATGTAGCATTCAATTTTATGTGCTTGAACTTAATTTTGGTTTTTCTAGTGAGCCTGATTCCGGGTTTGTGGTTGGTAGTAAATATTGTTTGCCGCTTGGTGAGCTTTGAGCGTAACATATTGGAGATTTGGACAGGCTCTTGCGGTAATTGATGAAGATGATATTGATCGATGGATGTCATCAATAACAGGAGTTGAAGACCCATCAGCCTCAGTTGGTACTAGAGTATGCTCTCTACCTTATATTGCACAAATCATAGATATGACACGATGGTCATTCAGATGGCGTTTGAAATTCACTGGACATAATATTGGAGTCAATGAGAGAATATTAAAAATCTTGAGGCTACGGTGTCACTTCTCCAGTGGGTAATTGTGGGAGGTGCTCTGGGTCATATACAATCTGAATTATAAATTTTAATGACAAAATGGTCTCTGAATATAAAATGAAAATTTCAATCCCTGACTATAAAAGGAAAATTTCAAGAGTGAAAGATTCTGAACGATTGTTGATTGAAAATGAGAGATCAAAATTGAAACTCAATATTTCTAGTTATGTTGAAAGAAACTATATCTCCTCCGGACAGAGCTTTTAAGCCATAATTTATTAGTACCAATTAACATTATCGCAACCTCTCGTGATCGGGTGACATCACCACAGCTCTTTCTGTTGAGAACATCTCCACTTACAAGAAAAGCTATAACTCGAAGGTTAGGGGACTAAACAAGTTTATCCATCAAAAAGTATGGTGTATCTGGGTGACATATAGAAGACTATATGTAATCACAAAACTTTAAGAACCCTCATTAGTCGTCCCTACCATTTGAATTGGATAAAAAGATTGATCATCAATCCCTACATATCCAAGTCAAAACTTCAGAAGCGTGCAAGTGGGCTAAGAATAACGTCACTGCTTTTATCCAAATCATCTTCAGTCCACCCTTCCTCTCAATGCTATAAACCTGTATTCAAGAAACCATCCTCCCATTTCCCAACGAAAATGCTAAATTACCAAATAAATTAAGTAAAATCCCAGTAAAATGCAGCACCCTGGAGCCTCAATTCAGTACCAAAAACATCAATGAAACATCTAACGACGTAATAATCTTCATGTTTATGAGAAATAGGAAGAAAAAAAAAGAAAATTCACATTGCTTCTAAAACAAATATCAAAAATAAGAAAAGACCACCTTCGTGTTCTTCAGTTAGAAATCAGGACACTGTCCTTTGCGCTCCCAATCCCCAAATCGAGCTGGCTCCGGCCCCCTGTTGCTCTATTTACGAAAACGCCACCGTCGTCCTCTCCTCCGTCTTCTCCTTCCTTCGTCTTATCTTCATCAAGATCGACTCCTCCATCGTTCGATAGAGGAGGCGAGAATCGACCTTCGATTTCTCCGAAGGTTGCTGCGGCGTTGATGAGCTTAGGCTCCTCTTTGATGCGAACATCACGGGAGAAGAAATATGGCTATTTTTCTTGGGGAGCTAAAATTCCGTCTCTCCTGTAGTTTAAGGCTTAATTGCACTTAAGTATCCCATAATTTCCCCTACTTGTCACTTATACACCCTCACTTCATTTCGGCTCCCCCATTCATTCCTCCAAGTTTATGAAATTCGCACTTCATACCTTCACTTACTTAAATGTGAGAATTTCTTCTTGAAAATTATTATTCTTCGGCACTTACATATTAATTTTAGAATATATTAACTCTTAGCGCTTAAGTTCAATATTAAATCTATCACAATGTTATTTTAAAATAGAATAATTTTAGGTTTCAAATAGAACTAAAGTAGTTTTAACAATAACTTTATAATAAAATTTAAGGATTAAAAAGTTTTTAAAATTAGCATGTAAGTGCTACATGGGAATTTTTGGAAAACCGTCACTACCATTTGCCTCATCCTCCACCTTCATAAATGGTGGTAACCAAGATGTGCATAAGCTTGCGGTGGATACGGACTGAGGCTACGTGCTCATTTAATTGCTATGGTTTCTACGCAATTTAAAAATATTCAAAGAGTATTCTTGCTCAATGATTCTTGCCAAATGATACTCGCAAACTACCCCACACATGTTTTTCCACGAAGAAATCAATATGTTTGCAAGGATTGGTTCATAGAGTGTGAAAGTTTGTTTGAATATAGTGGTATACGTTGTAATTTATTTTAACTGTTGAATCAACAAAAAGGAGGTTGTAATTATTTTGGTGGCACTTGGTGGTGTAACCAGAAAAGGGAGGGCTTGAGAAAGCATGTTGGAGATCGTGGTGATGTTCATACACAACGTTTCAACGTTTGTTAAGATCTCATCGTGGAGATCGTGGTGCTGTAACCAAAAAAGAATGGTCCACTTAAGTTGACATAAGTTTATATATATATATATATATATATATATATATATATATATATATAAAACTCTTATCCTTCAAAACGCCACTTGGCAAAAATGACACATGGCAAAAAATAACACATACCCTTGAAAACACCACATGGCATCAATTTCGGTTCCCAACATTATTCATTATCTTAAAAATAACAATATTTTTCCATTATTTAATCTATTACTATCTATTAGTATCAAATTTGGTTCCCTATATTATTTTGGGAAAAGATAACTTGTATTTAATCTCTAGCTCCTCTCTCTCCCTCCCAGGAAAAGATAACTTGTATTTAATCTCTAGCTCCTCTCTCTCCCTCCCACAAAACTCTGAGTTCAACCTTCTCATCTTCCCAAAGCAATTCCTCCCACAAAACTCTGAGTTCAACCTTCTCATCTTCCCAAAGCAATTGTCTGCTTTTTCCAACGCATCGTCATCATCATCATCATCATTTGTTCAATTGATCATATTCAGTTCCCAAAGCATCAAAGCTTCTCTCCCTCATGGAGTCCAGAGCATTTTTCCTCAAACCCTCCTCCTCCTCCTCCAAAATGCCCCAAGAGAAGTCGACGATGAGAAGTCGGCGAAGTGCGGTCGAAGGCGCTGCACCTACTTCAATGGAAACTGCGATGACAGCTCCGACGATGAATTCGTTGGCGATTCCCCTCCGATCGCCGCTGCTGGATCCGGCGATGCGCTGGAGATCATTAAGGTAGTAGTTTTGATCTTGTAAGATATTTGATGAAGTTTTCTTTGGTCAAAATTTAGATAGTTTTGTTCCTAATTTGTAGGGTTTAGTTCCGTACGAGAGCCTATCGGAGCACAATCTGTTGGCGGACGCATCAAAGATCGTGGAAACTAATAAAACCAAGATCGAAAAGGGTAAAGATGTTTGCGTCAAGTTTGTAACTGAAAGTTTGCAGTCTTTAGGTTATGATGCCTCCATCTGCAAGTCTAAATGGGATAAAACCCCTTCGATTCTAGCTGGTGCGTTTATTTCAGAAAAAAATGCCTCCTTTCTTATTGTTATCTCGGCTACTTAGGTCTCGGTTATGCTATTTTTTGTGATTCATAATATAAAAGTCTTGCATATATGACTTCATTTCTCTGGTTAAAAAGATGCACTCATAAAGTTTTTCGATGATGGTTGCAGTATCATGAATCTAATTGGAGTTTTAAAGTTCAAGAAGATGGGGGAGGATTTTGTTCGCAATTCTAGCCTTCCTTATACCATTATCAGGTCTATTACTTATTACTAATATATTAATGCTTAGATAAATTTCTTCACTTATATGAACTTGTAGAATGGTAAAAAAAATTGGCTGAAACATTCAATTTTTTTTGCTTATCAGGGCTGAAAGATTGACTGATGGACCTTATACTTCTTATGATTTAAATACGCTTATTTTTTTTGCTTATCAGGGCTGAAAGATTGACTGATGGACCTTATACTTCTTATGATTTAAATACGCTTATTAAAGCAACTGCTGGAGAAAGAAGATTGACTGATGGACCTTATACTTCTTATGATTTAAATACGCTTATTAAAGCAACTGCTGGAGAAAGGGGAGCGGTAGTTATAGGCCAAGGTATCACTTTTCCGATCTCAAACATTAAAATATCAACAGTTTTTGTATATCTCTAACTATAGTTTGAAGTTCTAATTGCAAAACCCTGTAACAATATGAGACTCAAAATTGCTTGATGTACATTTTCAATTTGCAGTCCATATACAAAACTTGATATAAGTTAACAAACACGGCCTATTCAAATAATTTCTACCAAATAAAATGGCATGATATTGGTCATGGAAAGCTAGCTTGTATATGGACTTAGAGAAGTATGCATCACAAAAACAGTTAACAAAAGAGATTTAATAGAATTAAATGGAAGGATAATAATCATGTAGTCAACCCCCAAAGTCTAGGATAAAAGCTTTGCTGTTCTGTTTGAAATTGCTCATTGAAAGTTAGTTAATGAAAGAAATAATCTTCTGAATTTGTGAAAAATCGGTTGCCATGTAACTAGAAGCTAAAAAGTTTCTTTCATATTTCACTATCATACAGGTATTAAGGGTTAAATTCACAACGTTGTCATGAAATTTGGAGGGTTTTGCACAAAACTACCAATAATTTTTTTATTAGATAACTACAATGAATAATTGTAGAAAAATCCCATAAACTATAGGAAATTTTTACTGGTGGGTTATTTATGTCCATCAATCTGGAAAATTCACGGGACTAATATAGAAGATATATAAAGTACACCAGAACTAAATTGTCTAAAACGTGTCATGTGTTAAGCATGTGACAACCTACACTCATTATCATCAGGCATGATAGTTTAGAATGTATTTCTCGTATATTATGTTTTGTTATTTTTCTCTATTGGCAATGTATTTTACTTTAACATTTTTGTTCTTTCTTATGTTTATATAGAGTATGTGAAAGTTGTATTTTATTTAACTAATTGAGTACTTCTTATGTCGTATTCTTATAGTTTGATGATGTTCTTAAATTGTAACCATATACAATTTTCTTACACTGACTTTATTTGATTTACGTATTACATTGTCTCTTATTTTCGTCAGGTGGATGTCATACACCCCTTATATGATAGGTATTATATTTTCTTTGTTTTTTGACATTTTACTTTTATTTTACCAATTTCTTTGGAAAGTTATCAACGGTTTAAATATTGATATGACTCGCACAAAATGTAGTTATCAACGGTTTAAATATTGATATGACTCGCACAAAATGTTCAAATATTATTTTCCCATGTTTACAATTTTTCAAACCTTTCATTTTTCAAATTTTTTAAGTTTACCCATTTTTTGTACTTTTTTGACATTTTACTTTAATTTTAAATTTTTTTCTATCTTATAAATAATAAAATAACTCCCACCATATTTCTAAATATCGTTTTTACACATTTACATTTTTTAAACTATATATGATCTTAAACTGATTCAAGTTTTCCAAACTTTCTAATTTTCTAAACTATATATGTAACTTAGGTTGTATCATTTATGACTACTTATATATTATTACTGTTTTATTTTGCATTTTTTTGCTACATCAATTTTTGTATATTAAACAAATACGTGCATCGCACGGGCCTGAAACTAGTATATATATATAAGAAAAGATTTGTCTATTGCCTCAGCATGAGAACAACGATTAGAGTCGTCATGTTTCATGTTTCTTGTTTCTTGTACGTCAAGGTAGATTTTTTTATCAGAAAAACTATTGAATAAAGTAGATCAATAAGAAAAGATTTGTCTTGCCTTAGCATGAGAACAACAATTAGAGTGGTCTTGTTTCTTGAAACTTTACATTATATAGCTATGTGTAGAAATATATGAAAGAAGTCGTGTTGACAGTTGCTTCATACAATAACAAATTGACTTCACCGATTATTCAAAAAGATGTGATTAATGTTTGCGCATATTTGACAACAAAAGCTATCATTGCATATATCAACAATAATTCTTTTTTGCTTTATAAGTTGATGAATCCCGTGATAATTCAACCGAAGTATAAATGACCATTGTTTTACTTATGTAGATAAGGGGGGAACATCGGACAAATTTTCAAAACCAACCTTTTTTTGTTTTTATTTGCAAAAACTGACCTCTTTTGAAAATAATTACAAAAACCGACCTGTTTTCAGCCCAGCACTGAAAACAGGTCGGTTTTTGTAAAAAGTTTTCCGAAACATCACGGGAGTTCAACTCCCGTGGAGTTACAGTCAAACATTTCCAGAGAGTCGATCTCTGGGAAATTGGGACTGCAACTTCACGGGAGTTGAACTCCCGTGAAGTTGCAGTCCCAATTTCCCAGAGATCGCTTCATTCCTAAAAAAAACTATACTCTCTCATTTTTGTATACTCTCACTATTTGATTGTGATTACATGTAAAAATCTAGATTTTAGAATTTAATTGTGAATTATTTACGAATTTTGTGAAGAAATGTGAAAATTAGAGGGAAAATTATCAATGAATGTGAAAATTAGAGGGGAAATTATCAATAAATGTGAAAATTAGAGGGGAAATTATCAATGGGGAAATTATCAATAATTTTGTGAAATTTGTGAAGAATTAGTGTGGAAATTATCAATAATTTTGTGAAATTACAGGGGAAATTATCAATAATTTTGAAAATTATTGTATTTAGAGTTTAGAATTTAATTGTGAAT